ATCTTTAAATATATATATATATGTGTGTGTGTGTGTGTGTGCGCTCGCGTGTGAGTGTATATATATATATATATACTTTTAAGGTGTGCTATATTTATGGGATAAAGTGCTCAATATCAGAGATAGAGCGTAAGTATATAAAGTTGAACATTAAAGTCAATCATGATGGCCTGACGATTGTTTCATGCTATGCAATCATGGCCTGACGCCTTGCGTCTAACACTTTACCCTGTCTCACTTTTATCATCTATCTATCTTTCTATCTATCTATCTATCTATCTATATATCTATCTATATATATATATATATATATATATATATATATATGCCTTTATCAGAAAACCCAGCAATTTTGGCTTCAAAAATAGCCTTACAAATTAACACTAGCGTGAGGCAAACGTCGAGCACCACAGGGGCTAATGGATAGGTCGAATAGGTCCTGCGGAATGTTCACTGAGGTCACCAGAACTCACAGCTTTGGATTTTTTTTCTGTGGTTCCATTTAGAATCAGTTGTTTATCAAACGAGCTCAAGAAATATTAAGGAACTTAAAGAAAGAATGAAAAATGAATGCAGTAAAATAACAAAGGAAAATCTCCGACGTGTCAATGAATCAGGTAGGCAAAGAATTGAAATGGGTTTTGAAAAAAAAGGAGGATATTTTGAACAGCACTTATAGCAATTAAATAACTAGTAAAGAAAATTTTTATATATAATTAAACTTTTAATAAATTATCTGTATGGAATTATCTCTTTTGTCTTTGAGTGCTGGTGTTAATAAAATAGCGCTCAATATCAAATACCAGAACTATAAATTATATGTTAATAATGAATACACATTTTTTCTCATCGGTAGCACAACTCTGAGTTTCAAGTACAACGCAACCTTCAGGTGCTGATTTAAAACAGTTTTAAAATTGCCTTGCGCTACGGATTAGGAAAAAACACACATACATATATATATATATATTGGTTTCCAGGTCTGAGAATTTGAAGCCATGTTTTATGAGTTTCAATGAAATAAAATATTACCTTTTTTCAGTGTTTGTTTGTCATTATGTAATCATTTTGCTCTGTTTTTTGACATATCCTCTTGAAAATTCCATACGGGTTACCAATAATTTTATTATTATTAATATATATTTTATTATTATTAATTTTTTATATATATATATATATATATATATATTTATTATTATTAATATATATATATATATATATATATATATATATATATATAGAGAGAGAGAGAGAGAGAGAGAGAGATAGATAGATAGATAGATAGATAGATATACCATTTGCTGGCTTTTAAAGAGATCGGGAATAAAATCTTTTGTATTCCCTTGGTTTTTGTTGGTTGGGTCGAGAGGATGGACGGTGTCATGTAATCTGAGCAGCACCAGTGGACACTCCACTCTCACCACGAAAGGACTGAATTTTGACCAAACCTTTATCTCTCGAGATAAACGGATGCCTATTATAGAGAACTGTATTCCGTTTATTCCTTACCAATTCCTGATCATATATTAGAAGTACAGAATTTTATAAGACCAATAAAAACAGACATATTTAAATTTCTGATGAAAAAAAAATTCTGGTGAATTTCTAACTAAAAAAAAAAAAAGGAGAAAATATTGAATATTAACAACTCATCGGTAAATTCGAGACAAAAGTGAAGAATTATATTCTATTTTCCTTCATCTTTTACCAACTTTCGAATTTCACTCTTTGTGATAACAAATCTTCCCTCGGCGAATAAAAAGCCCCTCCCCACAAAAAAACGAAAACAAAATTTTTTTTTTTTTAAATTGTTTCGTTATGTAAAAAACTGAACTCATTTTCAACCCTAACAAAAGCTTGCATAACATAATTGTTTTGTTAGTGAAAACATTAATACATTATTGTATGATTTGATGTAGAACAATGATTATCGCGTTAGAAGATTATGACTACGTGTGTTCCAATGTTCGCTGTGTACTCTATACTTGTAGCCTTTTACCAGACTATGTTAAGATTTCTCTATGTTTGGCTATACATGGGTTTAATCCTCTGTAGGTACCCCATACCGTTTCGTTGTACATGACTTTAATATTAAATCATTATTTATTCACCTTGCCGTGCTGTCGAAAAATAAAATGATATAAAATTTTATATGCAATATAGGATGTATACAAATTCTTATAGTCAGTCCTTAAATATAAATTCCATGCAATTAGTATATTAAAAAAAATATTCAACATATATATATATATATATATATATATGAAAGCATACACAGAAATGCGCATACACACACTTCATTCTTTCGTTTTGGGATCTGATGAAGCCTTGAATGGTGCATTCCATAATGAAATTTATTCTCAATCAAATCTATTTTCATGAACCGTTTCCATTTGTCTAATTTAAGATCTTTGTCGTGATTAATAATTTAAAGACTCGCTCACACACACACACACACACACACACACACACACACACACACACATATATATATATATATATATATATATATATATATATATATATCCCGGTTCTAATAAAACAGTGCTCGATAAATAAGAAGAGCTAAATTTGATATTTTAATGATAAATATACCTTGTACCAAACTCTCTCTCTCTCTCTCTCTCTATATATATATATATATATATATATATATATATAGTTTGGATCTAATATAGAAAAAACATGGATCGGAATCCAACAGAATAATAAGAAATAGAATAAATAGAAAATGTAACATTTTTTTTTCAAAGGTTCATCAGAGAATGAGATATGGAGAAAAAAAAGAAAGAAATTCTGGTATTTTTACTTCTGCATTCTTTAAACAGGAAGCATGATTAACTAATGAAATGCAAACACACACACACACATGTATATATATATATATATATATATATATATATATATATATATATATATATATATATATATATATATATATGTATAATATGTAAATCGTAAAAATATATAACCTCACCACCAACAAAACTACTCCTAAAATGTTCAGTTTGGTTTGAATATATATATATATATATATGTGTGTGTGTGTGTGTGTGTGTGTGTGTGTGTGTGTGGAAAACAGGAAAGAACACATTAGGTAAATAATCCGGAGTTAAAAATAATTATATATATATATATGTTTTAAAATCCGACAGAATGATACTTGTTATTCTTTTTGAACAAATGGATTTCAGCATCAGTAAAAAAATAAATAGAAAAATAAGATGATATTATCTCCGTAGACTGGTAGTTTGCAAACTAATTTATGATTTCAGCTCCCACTGGGTGCTTTTCGTTTGTGAGCGGCTAAACATAGTGAGATTAGCAAGCAACACTTGTTCAAATTATACGTGGTAAGTTCGATTCTCACTGTGTGCAATCTATGCTAATTCCCTGTGGCAAACTAGGCTTTTCGATTGCATTGGTAAACAATAAACATGGTTGCTTTCCTGGATTTGAGGTATTTATCTGAAGCAGACGACTTATCGCAACTACTATTATTGTGGCTGATAAGTTTGTTCTCATTCAGTTAAAAGGCGGGCATAAAAAATAAAAGAAAGAAAAAACTATGAAAGCAACGACGTGTGGTGGGAATACAACAAAAAAATGCGAACCGCATATGAAGAGAGGGTCGTTGACAAAGAAGAGATGCACATGAAACGCAGTAAAAAAAAAGTTTCGCTTAAAAAAGCGGAAAAAAAATACAACCGGAGGTGAAAAAAAAAAGAAGAAAAAGAACGATAGAAGAGGGAGGAAGAGAGAGCTGAAGTAGGAGGGAAGGTATGGGAGAGAAAAAAGTAGGAGTTGATGCTAAGAGAGGGTTGGAGGCTGAGTCGTTTGGCTTTGCCGCCGGCGCTAACAGCAAGTCATAGAACGTCGGACTATGTAACTATTCGCACGCCTTTTTTTTTTGTCTTCGTTCCGACTACACAATACACTCTTTTCATTGTTGTTATTATTATTATTTTCAACACGCGTGTGCGCACGCACACATACACACACAACATACACACATTCCACATACATACAGATACACATATGTAGGATATATACACTTAACAATTATGCATTTAAAAAAAAATACAGCATATATCTATATATGTATACATATTGAATATCACGCCTCTTTGATACAGACAAACTAGCGTATATACATGGATTAAAGTTACCCATACGCAATATATATATATATATATATATATATATATATATATATATATATATATATATATATATATATATATATATATATATATTTCAAATATATCCATGTATATCAGTCTGTTGCCAGAGACGGGCATGTGTTGTATATTTTGTGCTAAATAGATGCATGTCTGGAGTTTTGTAAGGTTAAAGATTTATGCACAAAACAGATTTTCTGATAAAACATGAAGATATTTCAATTCGTGAAAAAAAAATTGTCTCTCTCTTTCTCTTTTATAGAGAAGGGTTCAAAAAATTTTAATGTTGATTAGCGCTTTGGGAGTCAAATTATTTTTCTAAACATGCGGTTCTAATTTTCGTGTACACTAGTGTATAAGACTTATACACTACAACGTGCCATCTCTATAAATAAATTCTATATCTATCTATCTATCTATCTATCTATCTATATATATATATATATATATATATATATATATATATATACACATACGCACATACAAACATATAAAAGTACACACGTGCGAAAGTCTATATATTTCCTGGGCTTGACCTAATGTTTGGATTACCTGAAGTCATTGATGTTTCGACGTCCAGGAAACTGGAAAACGCTTACACCTATGATCGACCAGTTGATGGAAGGATCAGTCAATTAAAAAACTTTCGGGTTCAATGAACGAAAAAAACATCAGGTAGGTAGATATATATATATATATTTGTTTTAAGATTAACACAAAATCACACACGCACGCACACACAACTCTGTTGGTGAACTTTACTGTAATTATAGAGGAAGACTGTACAGTGTCGAATATAGAGCGTTTATAGTTATTCCT